AAGCTATATGAATGTTGCGGAATTTTAATGTCTGTTCTTTTTAATTTTTATATGTTCTCCCTTCCTGCCTTTATCTGTGAGCCGTCCTAAGTCTCTCGAGAGTGGGTGGAATACAAATCCTAATAAACTGCAAACTGCAAACTGACCTTCCTGTACAATGCCTGTCTTGGCAACTGCCGAGTCCTGTTGGATCTGCTTGACGAAGACTCCTTCATCCGTCTCTTTGATGGTAATACTATGCGAACTGTCTTGCCAATCAGGGAGAAGGATCTCCCGCGTACTCTCTTCTTCCTTGTCCATCTTAGGCACAGAAACAAGAAGCTGTCAATCTCCTTCCAAAGCTTAAAACATAAAAATAAGGGGAAATCCTATTCAAGATACATTCAAATTGCACAGTACTGAAAACTGGTCTGACACTAGAAGTGTAATGGTTTACATAGAGAATTTTTTTTTTTTGGTCCTATTTTCTCACCAAGGATCTCATGTGGATGCAAGTATAAATGAGACCCCACCCTGATGAGCTTTTTTGGTGTCAGCTGACCTGACCGAAGTCATTTTGGAGCTTCAGTATCGCCACACTGGAGCTGAGGGACGGGAAGGGGAGATTAGAGATAGCTGGGATTTTGTAGTCAAAACAAAATACTTTCTCTTGAGAACCAAGGACATTCTCACACCTGGTCGGCAGAAGGCAGAGTGATGTCACTAGGCAACCAGACAGCGCCATGATTGGACCATGTGGCTTATTGTTTTGAGAAAGTGACAAACTCTTAATTAGGTTAAAACCGCAGGAACCTTCAAAGTTGGTTTTCACCAGATCTCTGCCAACATGATATGTCCAATAAAGATATTCTTTGAGGAATCTACCCGCCTCAGAGTTTTGCTAGTTATTGGTCTATTACTTTTTTTAAAAGTTTTTTATTTGTCCTTTTCAAATTCATTCACAGATATATATTCTTATAATTGCTATTTAACACTTGTCTGTTCATCATTAGTCTCTATACTCATTTTTACACGCATACATTATACAATTTGGGTCACTTTCTTGCCATCCCACGCCTCCATTTTATTTTGCAACAACCTTACTCCTTCCATCTTCTCAGTCTCCCTTCTCTGCCTTCTTTCCTCCTCTCCTTCCTCCTTTCTTCTTCCCCTCTTTTCCCTCTCCTCCTCCCTCCTCTTCTTTCTTATCCTCTCTCCTACTCTTAATTCCTCACCCTTACTTTCTCTGCTTTACCCTTTCTTCTTTTCCCTCCTCATTCCCCCCTCCTTTCCGTTGTTCCCCTTACTTATTTATTTTCTCCGATGGGTTCTCAGGGTGACGTTTCAGCAATCCCAACTTTAAATTTTCATACAAATAAGTTTCTCTGTTTCCATTTTATTTCTAACATTAGTTATATCATTTTTCCACCTGTGTATTTACATTTTAATGTTTAATATAATTGAAACCCTGACATCTGGATCAACCAATCCGAATTGGCCAGCAAATATATCCACAAAAGGCACCGATGGAAACCATAGAAAATTAAATCCATTAAGGTAGAAATTACAATATGCCACGGTGATGTATTACAGAATAGCTAAGAAATATTCTAACCCAGTGTTTTTTTCAGCTTGGCCACTATGCTGGCCGGGGAATTCTGGGAGTTGAAGTCCACCCGTCTTAAAGCGGTCACATTGAGAAACGCTACTCAAATCTATCTTCTCGACAAACCAAGTTAACAGGGGAAAACTGATTCACTGAAGAACCACATGCTTCACTGAACAGCTGCAGTGATTTGCTTAACGAACAACTGTGATGCAAATGGTCATAAAATTGAATCTCGTGGTCCTTCGGTGAATCTGTTTTCCCCCTATTCTGACTTTGCTTGCCGAGACGATGGATTTGAGCAGCGTTACTCAACGTGGCTGCTTTAAGAAGCTCAACTCACGACTCGCTCCTTGCTTAGCGATGGAAATTCTGTTCCTGAAGCTGGTCATATGTCGGGGACTACCTCTGCTGCTGTTTCTAAATGGTAGAGGGAAATATGAGTTGCCGTAGCAGTCTCCAACCTTTCTAGGACTTTGCTCCAGGTAGGATCCGCCCCAGGAATTCAGTACTTCTCACTTGCCGATCCTTTTAGTAATGTTCGTTCCAACTTCACAACCTAGAAAAGAGATTAAAACTTCCGGTGAATAAAAGAGATTAAAACTTCCGGAAAATAAAATCACGCTCAATTTTTCTGAAACCTTGAATGCCGGAATTTTACCAAGGACAAAACTTGGCAGCCTGTCGTGCCAGCGTTATTTTACTATTTTGCTGTACTTTTAATGTTTTTTTTTAAAATCTTTTTATTGATTAACATTTTTACGGCGCCAATATACTCCTTAAGGTGATAGCTTTTCATGTCTTCCAAGTCTTTCTTTTTCTATTAAAAGCATAAAACTTGAATGTTAAAAAATGGGATTTCTGTCATTATTTCAGCTACAAATTTTCACAGTTTCAGTCACAAATTGACTTCCGTGGACCTTACATCATACTTAAGTGATTAGTAGAGAGGGCGTGCATAAGCGCACTAACGGGCCTATTGTCCCTGTCACTGTTTATTCTTTTTTTTATATTCTTATATTTTTGTTTGACAAATTCCAATACATAAATGGCAACAGCCCTTATACAGTGCTTTTGCAGCCCTCTCTAAGCAGTTTACAGAGTCGGCATCTTGCTCCCAACAATCTGGGTCCTCATAAATTTTCTCCATTTCTGCATAAATAAGCTTTTTGGTGTGGAAAGATTTCCTCATGAAATCTCTACAGACCACCCGACAGGTATATTTTTCAAGACAGGAAAAGACGCAAAATGATTTCTATCAGCGGCAGCTTTTGCAATCAGCTTGAGAAAAGCATGCTGTGCGGTCTTAAAGCTTGCACATTCCTTGCTAAAACCAGCTGGCTGCACAAAAGACACTTTTAATTACCATTGGGCTGGTTGGCGAGAAAATCCATCTATAGCTAATGTTTTTATGTCGCCAGAGTGAATTTGTCAGCACAAATTCTCTCTCCACTCCAAAAAACACCCCATATATAATATATATTCCTATCAAGCAATTATTAATCATTCATATTGGATAAGGATTCTGAAGTTTAGACCTCGTAGTGAACATGAGCTTACTGTTTGCATCGATTCACAGGGTTAAAAAAGCCACATCAAATTGACATCCTCTGTTAGTTTGGAGAGATTTGGAGCTACGGGATACTTTCAGCTGATTTTTATTAGAATACAGTCTCTTTTTCTTTTTTCATGTTTTATTTATTTTATTTATATAATACTCAATTTCCATCAAACAGTTTGTGATCTGGGTACAGTTATTTTTAAACAATCTTAATCCACCTATTTGTTGCAGTATTCATCACCATAATATTGACGATATGATCACATAATAATATAATAACAATAATGCTTAACATCTTCTTTAATAACTCTCTAGTTTCTAATACAGATAGTCCTCGGCTTACAACCAGAACTGAGTCCAAAATTCCTGTTGCTAAGTGAGACAACGGTTAAGTCAGTTTTGCCCCATTTTACGGCCTTTCTTATCACAGTTGTTAAAGCGAATCAGTGCCAATTGTTAAGTTAGTAACACGGTTATTAAGTGAATCGGGCTTTCTCATTGACTTTGCTTGTCAGAAGGTCGCAAAAGGTGATCATGTGACTCCAGGACGCTGCAACCATCATAAGTACGAGTCAGTGGCCAAGCGCCTGAATTTTGATCACATGACCACGGGGGTGCGGCAACGGTCGTAAGAGTGAAAAACGGTCATAAGTCACTTTCTTTAGTGTCATTGTAACTTTGAACTAACTTACTAAGCAAACCGTTGTAAGTCGAGGACTATCCATGATGGCTAACCTTTTCTGGACCGACTGCCCAAATACACATGTGTGCGGGCGCGAATTCACATGTGAGCGCCCGAACCCCCCAAATGCAAAGCACACGCCTCCCCCGCGCCTACACCCCAACTCCACGCATGCGCACATGGGCCTCATGGGCCATGCCCTGCCACCCATGCATGCACGCTCCACCCCTACACATACACATGCCCCCTACGCCACACCCCTGTGCATGTTTGCCGCCTCCCGATGCGCCCCCACCCTATGCACATGCGCGGCAGAGACTCAATGACCAACTAGCCAGCAGAGGAGCTGAACTGGGGCAACAGCTCGCACGCCCACAGAAAGGGCTCTGAATGCCACCTGTGGCATGTGTGCCATAGCTTTGCCATCACAGACCTATAGTATTCCTGAACGTCAAAATGGATATTTTTTTTGGCCCTGCCTAGGCAACACATTTGATCTCTCAAGTTCGATGTTTTTCAACCTTGGCTGCTTGGACGATGTGTGGACTTCAATTCCCAGAATTCCCCCGCCGGCCCTGGCGGGGGAATTCTGGGAGTTGAAGTCCACATGTCTTCACGGTTCCAAAGTTGAGAAACATTGTTCACGACACTTAAAATCTCACGGACTGAATTAGTGCAAGTGACCAAATGTACGTGTTTAAAATAAGTTTAATTTTCAGGCTTCGTTTGACGATTAGTTGACGATTCAATATACGGCGCAAAGCTGGAAAGTGGAATAATTCAGAAATCAATTTAAGCACGCGATGTGAAGGGGTTTATTTCTCTGTTTGCTCTCACCAAAGTGTTCCTAACCCCAAATCCTTAAATCCTTTCCTTGCAGAAAAACATGTACCAATCAAACAATAATATTTGCTCATTTCCCGCCGAGGACTCTCGCGCGAAAGCGAGAATATTTTTACCGCTTAGTTGCCGAGATCTCATGTTTTCATTGCTGTTATTACTCTAATGCCAGGATTAGATAACAGCTTTTCCTGGCCCGCTGCAAGAGTTGATTGAAAAGAAGTGCATTTACACAACCCGTTGCCCCCGGGGGACAAAAACACCCCTAACCCAGTTTAAAACTCACCAAATTTACACTATTGTGAGAATGTGGACCCTGGATCAGTGTTTCTCAACCTTGGCAACTTGAAGATGTCCGGACCTCAACTCCCAGAATTCCCCAGCCAGCATTCGCTGGCTGGGGAATTCTGGGAGTTNGCAGCCCCTCAAATATTGGAAGATGCTCTCCTGTCTCCACTGGTCCTTCTCTTCCCTAGACCAGCCAAGCCCAATTCCTGCAAAAGTTATAATTCTCTTTTAGGTAACCAAAGTGGGTTGTGTGCCACCTGGCTGGCAAGAGGCCTTCAGAGCACCCTCAAAACAATTTCTTCATTTAATTATGTTATGCCCCGTCCCTTCCTCGACAGCAATCCCCATGTCGTTTATCAGGAGTTGTTGATTTTTGCAGCCATCCATCGTGATTTGCAGCCACCCCCGAGCCAAGAAGTGGGTCAGGCCACAGTTTTCGGGGGAAAATATGAGCAGCAGGCGAGGCTGCTATTCCAAATATTTCACCTTTGGCATTCAGAGGCTGAAGGGCCAGTTTGTCTCCGGCAAAACATCGAGGGGCGGCTGGGATTAAAAGAATGTTCTTGGCCTGGATAAGGAAAGGGCCCCCGAAAAAGATGTTTTTCATGAGATGTTCCAGCTATGGGACAAGGCGGCCATGCTGTCTCACCCGAGACAGACAAGCAACCCCTGAAAAAAGAGAAGGACTCAGAGATGCTTCCCACCAGGGATCTCCAACCTTGGCAACTTTAAGACTTGTGGACTTCAACTCCCAGAATTCCTCAGCCAGCTTTGCTGAGGAGTTCTGGGAGTTGAAGTCCTTCCATCTTAAATCCGTGCTGGCTAGGGGATTCTGGGAGTCGAAGTCCACTCCTCTTAAACTTGCTACATTCTAGGATTATAGGAAGCAATTCTACTGAATTCATGAGATCTAATTCTAAGGGAAGAAGTGAAATGGAAGTAGCTGTTGGTTTCATTTCCCCAAAGATATTTTAAGATCTGTTCTCCTTCCCTAATATCCGTTCCTCAACCGCTTAAGATTGGGGTTTCCCCGCCTTCTTTCCTGGGGGGCCTTTAGATTCTTCTCCAACTTTTAAAAGTAGGTTGTGGGGTCGCCTTCTTTTTTAAGTCCAACCCAAAAGCAATAAATAAATAAATATTGGACACAAATACATATATGGTTGGAAAAAATGATAAAGCAACTTATAGATTTAAAAGCAGAAATATTTTTGTTGGGCATTTTACCAGATTAAAGTATAACAAGGGGAATACAAATTTGATTCTACATGTGTTAACTGCAGCTAGAATTGTATTTGCACAAGAATGGAAAAGGAAAGAGATCCCTACAGATGAAAATGTGATTTAAAAACAATATTAGAATGTGCCGATGTGGATAGACTAACACTTACAATTAAAAAAAGAGAAGAAACTGAACACTTTGACATGGGACTTATTTTATCAATGCCTTGCTATGGTAATAAAAACAGAAGTTAGAAACATGTGTATATAAGAAAACGGCTAAATGATACACGGGAGGTTTGTTAAAATAGACAATCTATTATTGTTGTTGTTGTTATTATTATTATTANCATCTTCAAGTTGCCAAGGTTGAGAAACACTATCCTGGATTGTAAGTGACCTTGTTAACGCGTGTTGTGCGTTAAACAGAGCTCAGTTAACGTGTCTTGCAAGACTTCAATCGGTCACTATGGTAACTATTGTAAATTGAGGACTATCTGGTGCTTTTTTTCAAGAGGCAATGGGGATTTCTGGTTTTTCTTTGAAGACGTTTCACTTCTCATCCAAGAAACTTCTTCGGCTCTGGATGGATAGTTGCTTCTCATCCAAGAAGCTGAAGAAGCTTCTTGGATGAGAAGTGAAACCTCTTCAAAGAAAAACCAGAAAGCCCAGCTGACTCTTGAAAAAAACATGCAGCTTTGGGACAACCATGAATCTCCATAGTTACCTGTAAGGTGGAAGCAAGTTGATAACCCCATCACATACTCTTAACATTTGGGGGAGTTTTAATACATGTGGACTTCAACACCCAGAAGCCAGAATTCTGGGAAGTCCACAGCCACAAGTTTTAAAGTCACCAAGGTTGGACATCCTTCTTTTAAATGGATGCCACCAGGGGGCAGCACTGCACTCACCATCTATGTTTTCCAGGCGCTGGCTGGCACCTTCCCCAGCTGCCCAGCCACACCCCTCCTGCTGTGCCAATTTC